CGTCCTTGCTGGTGGCTATTTATACCTGCCCAGGTGGGTGTCACCTGCCAGGCAGTCCAGCTTCCCATGGGGTTTGCCAGCCATAGTGCTCATGCTGAAAGTGATGTGCTAAGGGGAATTTCTTCTGGGGCCTGGGACAGCCCTCCCCCCAGGTACTGGGTTTGCATGCTGATTCACACCAAGCCTGAACTGCAATTTCGGGTGGGTGGCTGTGAGTTAGATTTTGCTGGAGATAGTTTGTTGCTGGCTACTTAGTGAGTGAGACTCATTTTAATAGCTGTTCTTTGTTCTTTGGAGTAATTTTCTTTTGTCCTGAAAACAGGTGTTGAAAGCACCACCTAATCACTCTGCTTTAACCTCAGATTTTGAGAAGTGTGAACTCAAGCACCCTTTGCCTCAGAACTGCCACTTCTGAAAACAGGATATCTTAAGAATTTTGGCGAGAATCTAGAATTTAGGTTTAGAATTTCTTTTCCCTAGAAAAGAAAGCTTATAGTGGGCACTACTCTCAGAATACTTAGTGGTAAATCACAGTAGAATGACCTTACCATCAGCGATGATATTGTCTATTGTCACCAAACTCTGGTGGTCACTTACAGGAAATCCTCCTGTCTCATGCCCTGGCATGTATGCAGTGATGCCATTTTAAAGTTGTGAGTTTTTAAACATTTTTGTGCGTATTTCCAATGACTCAGAGGTTATCTTAAACTGAAATATGTATGTGAAATCTATATGACTGCATTGGCTCTATCCTGGGAGAGGAAAGAAAGGATTTGGCTTGGCCAGATGAAGGTTGAGATTGTTATCAGCTGGCTCTTGAGGAAGGAGGTACCAGGTCTGTCTGAAATACAGAACAATCCTGTTATCCATGTAGGAAAGAGCACAGTCTGGATTCGAGTGTGTTTGGGCTGGAAACTAAGGGGAGAATTTTTACTATGGGAGGCAGAAGGATTTTGAAGAGTTTCCATTGCAGGAGCTGTGGATGGAAGAGAGAGTTTCAAATTTGATCTCAGTCAAATGATGTTGGGGATTTTATCCTTGTGTAACAGAGGTAGCTGTGATGACCCTCTAGATCCCCCTTACCTTCTGTCTTCTGTCCCTTGGTGCTGCACCACTGCACCATTTTGCTAAGGGCGCAGATTGTGATAAGCCCTTCTTTGGAAAGGAAATTTTACCTTTAAATAACTTTTGGAAAATGTGAATTTTAAACCTGAAAGACAAGGGGCCTCATTATGTGAGGGTTGAACTTTGATGGAAATATATCTGCACTTGAAAGTTATAATTTCCCCATATTTTTTGTTGTTGGTTTCTTCATTTATGCTGTAACTTATACACACCCTGCAGTTGTGGCTCAAACAGGATTTTTTTTCTTAGCCACAGTGATTATGAGATCCATAAAGTTACTAATGTATGTTATGGCTGACTGAAGGATCATGGAAAACCATTCACCCTCTTTCTTGAGACACCACCACCCCCATATCACAGATCCTTTGATCTGCATAATTATGATTGTTGTTTTATTGGTCGCTGTCTAATTACCCACACGTCAGAACCAGGTGCTTTGCATATGTTATTGCGACTGAGTCATCATTATTAAAATTTAAAAATTATTTTCTCACAGGGTGTGATTCCTTAGTCATATTTTCCTCATTAGATTGTTGAAATGCACTTTTATTCTCCTCTATGAGAAGTTTATTGCTGATTGGTGGTAGTGCCAGAGGTGTTGATTTTATATCTCCTTCTCGGCATCATTGCATCACAGCACCTGGCCCAACAATTTCTGACATTTCCCAATGCTGTAATTTCATACTGTCACTAGGTGCCATTTCTCTGTCTCTCTGTTCCTCTCTTCTTTTTTGGATAGGTGAGCTAATCATCCTTACTGCCATAACTGCGTCCCAAACATTTCATCTCTAGACTGTTCTGTAACTTGGGGGCTATTTCCTTGTTTCCATGTGCATTTCTGGCCACTGTCCTGTGGACATGGCTCTTGGCCTGAGTTGGCTGTTGTGAGTGAATTTGGACCCGCTGATTTACTTCACAAGCCAAAAGAGCCAAGACTGTTCAGGAGCCATTACCTTTCACAGTGACAGAAGGAGGTCAGACGTGTCCTGCTGTAGAAGATGTTGAAACTCCTCAGCCATTCAAAGGCACTGTAAGAGCTTCAAAATCACATTTTCCCCTGGTAGACCTTTTGCTCATAGTGCACCCCATGGACCTCTGCAAGTCAGAAGTTTGTTTGAAGTAGGAGTGCTGTAAATCCTTTCCAGTGCTGTTTACTCCCTGGGGAAGTTGGATGCTCCAAATTTGCAGAAGAACCAAAAGCAGCCTGTGGTTTCCACAGAGGCCGTGATGCCATTACTGGATGTATGTCTTCAGTCACACTAGAGGGAGTGGACAATCCTAGATACAATTACTGGTAATTAATTGTTTTACAGTAAATGAGTCAAATGTGGTCTTGGTAAGAAGGGTGCTACTCCCTAGAGTTTCATCAGGGATTCCATTTGAGCATTCCTCATCCGTCATTGTCCCGCAGCATCACTCAACCTGTGCATTTGTTCAGTTCATCCAGAGCTGTAGGATTTCCACAACGCCTCATTCTGTGCTCATCTTTCTCTTATGTCACTCCATGGGGTGGGCTCATAAACTTGCATATGTATAGACCTACAGAAAATCCTATTAAATGTGAGCTACTTTAATTGCGCAGCTGATTTAAATCATTACTCACAGCCCTTCCTACCACTGAAAAAGGACAAATTTAGAGATACTTCCCAAGGGAAATTAAGCTCTTCCAGCAGAGGGATCCTTTCCTGTTCTCTTTCTCTCTACCTGCTGCCATCTGCTCCTGTTATCAATGATGGCCACTAATTGAATTCTATATTCCTCCCTGCCAAAGCCTTTTTTCCCTATCCTGTAGATCTTTTCAGAACACTAAGTAGGTATATGTATGGCTTTTTCTAAGAACACGGATGAGTGAAATGAGCACTGGGAGCAGGCAGTTGTGTCAGAATACCTGATCACAGAAATAGCACAAGTTTTCTGGAGCACCCGCCAGCCTTGGATGGAGGCTGTGTGTCTTGCTGTGCCTTTGGCACACCTGTGGCGTGTGTTGTCCCTAGGACAGGCCTTGGCCCATCCCTTGGTGGGTGTTAGTGCCCCATGGACCATCAGGAATGTGTGGAGGGCATTGTGCTGTCAGCAGCAGGACTCCAGAGTGAGCTGATCGTGCTGTAGAGACTCCTGAGGACTCTTCTCAGTGCTGCTCACTGCACCAAGACCTCACACTCCCAGATCAGCTCAGAAATGGGGACAGACACTGCAGCTCTGGAGTTCGCAGGAGTTCTCTGGGTGAGGACTGCATTTTTGATCATTCTGATGCTTCTCTGTGTTTCTGGAACATTAGAAGGAAGCAAAATAACCTTTCAGTTCTTTACTTATATAAATTAACTGTAATTTAAGGTTCCATAATCTGCCCTCAAAAGAGATGTCTCCTTCAGCTGCTTTGGCTACAGTAAATACAGCTGACACCTGAGTGAGCTCTGGCAGCCTCTAGAGAAAAAAAGTCACGTTTGCATTTGCTTTACATCACTTTCTATACAGTTAAAACCTGAAGTAAGTTTTTATTCATTGCAGATAGGCTTTTATTCACACAAAATCTTGATGCTGGACTGATAAGTCAGTTTTTCAACAGGTGTAGAAAGTGTTCTTTGTGCACTCACTGCAGGCTGCGGTCAGGGTGCTGTGCTGGCACAGCCAAGGCATGCAGTTACTGAGAGAACACCTAAACAAAATCAAACTCTTCTAAGTTGGTTGTGATGGGGAAGTGTTTAATTGCATTACCCTAGGAGATCAATCCTTCAGTCTGAAATGAAATGGGAAATACTAGAAACCAGGTTTAATCAGTGGGGAAGGGACAAACAGGACAAACCTGTAAGTGATACATGGCTGATTTCGTGTATCCGGTGCACAACAGTCAGAGACTGAAAAGGGACTTCACTGTGATCTTCAGAAAGCAAAATGCATCTAAAGGAGCTGCCCTAATTTAGTATTGCTCTCTCATATCTAATTTTGTTGCATATTTTATGTACTTAAGCAGTAAAATATAGAAAATACTTTCAATGAAAGGAATGTGTCTCTCCTTTCTCTTAAGGCAGAGTATCAGCCAGCTGTGTGTACTAACAAAAATCAGGTTCTTGGTATGATATCAGTATTTAAATTGAAATTTCTATCATAAAACACTGGAGTGGTTTTGGTGCATGACACTGAAGGGAACAGATCCATTTTCTTGCTGTCTCTTTCTCCCAACAGAAGTCAGCAATACGTCATTCTCTGTGCAACAAAAGGTGTAGAAATACTTGTGAGGAAGACCCTTCATACTGGAACAACCTCTCCTGAGTCACACCTTCCTTCCCACAGTACTCTGGCTGTGATGAGGTCGATGGACTCAGATAACTCACAGTCGTACCATTGGGCACAGTTTAGTAAATTAACAGTTAATCTCTGATAGTTACCCATCATTTCCTTATTTATTTTCTTTCTTTCTTTCTTTCTTTCTTTCTTTCTTTCTTTCTTTCTTTCTTTCTTTCTTTCTTTCTTTCTTTCTTTCTTTCTTTCTTTCTTTCTTTNATGTATATGATAATAATTTTCACTAAGAAAATTTTTAATCTATCAATTTTCCTGTCACCTTCTACTTTCTAGAATCCTTTGTACTGCCTTCATCAGTCTGGAACTTCCTTTCTTTCTTTCTTTCTTTCTTTCTTTCTTCTTTCTTTCTTTCTTTCTTTCTTTCTTCTTTCTTTCTTTCTTTCTTTCTTTCTTTCTTTCTTTCTTTCTTTCTTTCTTTCTTTCTTTCTTTCTTTCTCCTTTCACTCACATGATTCATTCTCTTTAGTACAAGTGGCAAGGCAAGGGGCCAGAAAGCAATCCCTTTGTGACCATTAAAAAACAAAATGGTAAATGGTTTTTAATGTCTCAGGAAGGAGAAAAACTGTGTCAAGAACTGACAACAAGATTTCTGTTTTCAACCTTATACCTCTTGCTTGTGAAGAGAGAGTTCTGCCAGCCTGAGCTGGCAGTTCCCCTAGGCAGAGGCTGGCTGTTGTCTCACGTCACACAGCCATGGTCACAATTCCTGATATTTCTTTTCACTCAGTGGTTCTATCCCAGCACTGTGTCCATTCTCCTGGTGCAAGATGGACTGTCCTGAGATCATGTACCCCATACAACCGCACAGCCCGTGTTTGGCGGATGATCTGGATAAGTACCCACGTGAGGTTGGTTAAATTTATTTTCTCAGACATGTTGTGATTTGAATTGCAGACATAAAGGTTTATTAGAGCAGAGTTACCAGCAGAGTGTGAGCCCTTAACAAAGAATGAATTGCCAAAGACAAGTTGAGTAAGCCAAGCATTGCAGGGAGGAGGAGGGGGTGCTGGGGCAGGTGACCAGGCTCATCTTCCAAACCCTTCCCGCTGCCCCGGCCGTGCTGCAGAAGTTCTCGGGTGTCTCTCGCCGCCCATGGTCGGTGCATCTCAGCTGGACGCTGCCAGGGTCTCTCCTGCTGCTTTAGCACACTCTTGACTGCCCTGTGTGAGCACAGAGCAAATCACTGCCTTAGGGGAAGTCTGAGCATTCCTGCTGAGTGAAATTCTTACACCTCACAGTGTTAGCAGCAGAGGCACAGAGGCTCCATGCCCAGCAGCATCCTGAGCGATTTCTCAGAACTGTATTTTTTTATTGTTACAGTAACCAAAGAAGTATTTCCCATCCCATAAAGTCTATAAACTGTATTTTATATTTAGGCAGAGGGAAGAGCAACACTTGCTGTATTTTAACCCCTGATTCTGCTGCAACAGAGAAATGAGGTTTTTCACTCCTGGGCAAATGGATCTTGGAATCTTTCCCAACCCAAACTAAAAAAACTTTTTTCTGACCAAATAAATTGCAGACATTGGGGCAGATGTAACCCACTAAAAATAGCATGCCTACAAAGTGTTGACTTACCTGATATGTCTCCACACTGAGAATGAGAGTAGGAAGCAGAATATGACTGGGAGGATTTTCCACCTCCTTGGAAAGCTCCTTGGGAGGAACTGTAAAAAAAAAAAAAAATTCATCAAAACCTACTAACATTGGATATTCAGTTGAAAGATATGATGATGTAGCCTCAGGGACAAGGGGTCTCTACGGGTAAATAAGTACATGAGGATTTCTTTTTACTCCCTTGCTATAATATGAAATACATACACAAGATCCTGCTGCCCCTCCTGCAGCAGCGCCCGGTACTGCTGGATCTCCTGCTCCAGGCGGGTTTTTATACCCAGGAGCATCTTGTACTCCTGGCTCTGACCCTCCATCTCACAGCGGATGCTGGCCAGCTCCTCCTCGATGCAGTTGATCTGTGTCTGGATTTGTTGCAGCAGGCAGCTGTAGCGAGACTCGGTTTCTGCCAGGGAGTTTTCCAGAGAGGTTTTCTGGAAAGACAAATCCAGGAGTTGAGGAGCAGAGTTCTACGGCTCCCTGCCCGTGCCAAGGAGGGAAGGGCCCGCAGATCCTGCCCACGTACCGTGCTGAGCTGTGCCTGCAGTTCGATCTCCAGGTTCTGCATCTCGCGCCTCAGCTCGGTGAGCTGGTGGCTGCTTGTCTGGATGTCCTGGCTGCTGGAAGTGACCTGCTGGTTGACTTCTTGGATCTGCAGAGTCAAACCCCAGAGACACTTTCTGAGCCCCAAGAGAGCAGATTTGCTGAATGGGAGCTCACATCTCCAGGGAGCCTCTCCCTTTCAGCCAGTCCCGGTACCAGGGTGTCTGGGCTGTGCCACCAAAGGAGACTCCAGTCTGGGCATTGCTACATACCTTGACCTCATACCACTGCTCTACCTCCCTGCGGTTCTTCTCAATGATCTGCTCATATTCATCTCTCAGGTCATTCAGGATCTTTGTCAAGTCTTGTCCAGGAGCAGCATTGACCTCCACGCTCACATCGCCACCAGTCTGGGACTGGAGCTGCCTCATTTCCTGCAGGGAGTCCAGAGAGGGATACAAGAGCACACACAGGTCATTTGTTGTGCTGGGGACTGTGGGCAAAGCTCTACCAAGGAACAGAGGAATGACAATCCATGGCATAATGAGAAATTCACTTGATGTGTGATGGTGGGAGCCATGAATAATCAACGGATTGTGTATTTGGCTGTGCATTAGATTGTATATAATTGGATATAATTGGATCATACCTCTTCATGGTTTCTCTTGAGAGCAATCAGCTCATCCTTCAAGGACTCCAGCTCGGATTCCAGGGCAGACCGAGTGGTAGTGAGGCCATCCAGGATGTTCCTCAGGCCATTGATGTCACTCTCCACAGTCTGACGGATGACCAGCTCATTCTCATACCTGTGTCACACACATAGAGACAGAAAAATGGGGAAATGAGATGCTGACAGTCAGTAGCACACATCCTTTTAAGATCAGTATTCCAGTAAAATAGGATGACTCAGTAATACCACCCAGGGCAGTCCTCCCTTGTCTTCTTAGATGATGATGAGAGGGATTTGACAGACATGCAAGGTTCACAGAGAGCTACTCACTTCATTCTGAAGTCATCGGCAGTCATCTTGCTGTTATCTATGTCCAGAAGCATTTTGTTATTGTCCACAGTGGCAGAAATAATCTGCAAAAGGTGAAGGTGGAGAGGAGTCATTCTGTGATCTAGATTTCTAGGACAAGCAGAAAGAAGGTTCTAAGCTTTGGTAGGGTGTTAGTGAGGGACTTAGAATTGTTTCTTGCAGTAATGCTGGGGCCATATGGGAGGGTAACGATTCAGATTTACTTTTCAGGGAAGCTTGTCCTATCACAGACCATCCTGCCAAAGCCATGATGTTCCTCTTCTCAAGTTAGGGACTGACCCCATGAGCCCTAAAGAGTGTTTGCAGCCATTTCTATATAAAGTGCTTCTTCATGGTGTCTGTTTAATCTGGGTTTTTTTGGTATTGTGAGACCTCATTGTAATGGAAGACCTCAGTCCTTCCACCTGGTGTCTGTAGGAGTGCAAAGGGACAGAGGGAGCTCAGATCTGCCATCCAGGTGCTTTGGCTTTGCACTCCATCCAGCTGATGTGGCTGGGAGCAGAGGGAAGCACTGCAAACCTCACACGTCTGGTTTGGAGCCACCCGCACAAGGTGGGATGAACATTGCGTGAGCCAGCGTGTCTGTGGCTGGTGGAGCTCCTGGTGCCTCGGGCTGTGCCCTGGTGCCTGTGGGCTGCTGTGAGGGTTTGCTCAGCCCGGGGACGGGAGGTGCAGCTCAGCAGGTTTGTGCCTGCGGTACCAGCAGCAGCACGGCCGTCCCGCGGGTGGTAGAGCCCAGTGCTGGGGACAGAGGGAGGAGGAAGAAGCCAAGAGGAAAGAAGAAGAAGCAAAGAGGAGAGAGGAGCATGTGGGAGACGGAGCCCCGTGTGCCGGGATGATCCTACCTGATTTTGGAGTTGTTCGATGGTCTGGTAGTAGGAGCTGTAGTCCTTGGAAACGCTGGGAGCTTGTTTCCTGTACCACTCGCGGATGTGGTGCTCAAGCTGAGCGTTCTCTTCCTCCAGCCTTCGCACCTTGTCCAGGTAAGAGGCCAGGCGGTCGTTGAGGTTCTGCATGGTGACCTTCTCGTTGCCGCTGAGCAGCAGGTCCCCGCCAGGGCCGCAGATCCCCGCGAAGCCCCCGCCGAAGCCGCCGGCAAGGCTGCCCATGCTCAGGCCGCCCATGCTCAGGCCTCCCCCGTAGCCCCCGCAGGCTGCCCCGCCGTAGCTGCCGCCGCCGATGACGGAGGAGGCGTAGCGCCGGCAGGACACGGAGGAGCTGTGGCCGCTGCCGCCGCCGCAGGCGCCTCCACCTCCTCCTCCGCTCCTGTACGAGGTGCTGGATGTTCTCTTGATGCTGCAGCTCATGGTGAAGGGATCAGATCTTCAGCCCCAGATGCAAAGCTCTGCGCAGCGAGGTGCAGGAAATCAAAGTGCAGCAGGCCGTCCTTGCTGGTGGCTATTTATACCTGCCCAGGTGGGTGTCACCTGCCAGGCAGTCCAGCTTCCCATGGGGTTTGCCAGCCATAGTGCTCATGCCAAAAATGATGTGCTAAGGGGAATTTTGTCTGAGGTAAGTAAAATGCATTATCCTTCAGTGCAAATATGTCTTAGTTGATTCACACCTAGCTGCACTATAATTTTATGTGGGTGGCTCCTTGTTGGATATTTTGCTGAACAATGTTGTATCCCTCAGTTTCTGTTAATCTGGCAATACCTCACTGGTAACGGCAGCTAATGAAGTTTCTGGTTCATTGTCTGTGTCCATAATCTTTTATGATTTGAAACTCAGTAGCTCAGCCTTAGCCCTCTACCCGAGATCACAGACATGATTCATAACACCAGCAGCCTCCAAGGGACTCTTCATTCATTGATTTATTTCAAATTACATCAGCTTCAAACAAATCTACTTTAATGCACCAAAATGAAAATTTTTAAGACTGCATTCCCATGTCTGTTACAGAAGAAAACTTGACTCTGAATTTTTCACTCTGTTGAATAAGGTCCTGCTGGCATTCAGCTTTCTCTGAATATGCAGCATGTGGATCACAGTCTTTTTTCTTTTTGAGGAAAACTCTGTGTAACAGCCACAAAAGTAGCATTGTGCAAGGGAAAAGATATTAAATCTTTTCCTGTCAAAGAGCTCAAAATTTTATTGTAACAGTTTTAAATGGACTCAGAGGAAATTGAGAGGAGAAATATTTTACTTTGCATATTTTCATCACTGTATTTAAATAGTAATTTTTCAGAATACATACTTGAATTATATAATATGATGAAAAAATAAGTTTTATTAAAACAGCCAAAGATTAGATCTGAAAAAATATCATCATTACCTGAGCTCATTTCAGTGAAGGGTGTTTTGCAACCACAACAGAATACCTTGCACCACCCAACAGAGAATGAGAAATACTTGTGTACTTTTTTCCACTGCCCATGCAATAGGGAATGGCACTGAGCTGCTTTTTCCATCTTTACTAATCAAGCTCCTGTGAAACTGCGAAAAGCCTTGAACATAAACAAATTTTCAGATTTCCAGCTGTGCATTAAATATCAGCATTGCAGCTCCTATGGAAGAGTCATTGGGCTGTGCAAAGAAAGCACAAGGAGCTGCTGGTTCCTACTGTGAATTGCCACCTCAAAATCAACTTATCCACGGAGAGGGAGGATGGCTTCAACCTAGAGGTGTTTGAGGAAAAGGTTCCGTATTACACTCCTCTCTCTGGCTGTAGTTATGCAGTTCTGCTCACCCTGGTAGCTCTGTTAACCCAAGGTGCTGCCACCATCGCTGAGGGACCCTGCCCTGGCTGGCACTGGGGCTGTCCTGGGCTGGCACTGGCTCCACTGGACACTGGGAAACTTCTGGCAGCTTCTCACAGAAATCCCCCTGTATCTCCTGCTACCCAAACCTTGCCACACAAACCCAATTCTGTGTCTTATGGATGTAAAATTATCTTGGAAATCTTTCCTTCCTTCCTTTCACCTCGGTCTCTCAGTAGCTGCTGCCTTCATTCTGTTTTAACCCCTTCTGGACTTCACTGTATGGTGTGTAGCACTTAGTGCCTGTTGGGCAGCAAAGTAATTAGGAGTCAGAGAAATAAATATTCTTCCAAGGTTAGTTTAAAGCATTTACTGACATCAGTGGAGATCCCTGTCCCTCTCCCTGCACCTGTAGGAGGTGACAATGCAATTCCCTCCCTTAGAGGGCTCTGGAATACCCACAGTTCTTAATCCTCACACCATTTATCATGAACACCGTGTCTCTTTCTGGATGGTGTGTGTAGTAGAAGTTTCTAAACCTAAATCAAAGAAGGAGAAATAAGCATTAGTAGAATCTCACTGTTCCTGTTCCATGTCCTTGGCAACATTTATGCAGCACAAACTCTGTTTAACAAGCCTGCAAAGGCTCATCCATGCCAGCACAATGCCAGCACACTTCAGCTTGGCGTAAGTGAAGTGTTTCTGTTTCCCTGAATGGTTTCCAAGTGCTGAGATGGCAGTGTGATGTGTATTTCTGGAAATCAATTTTGTGTCTGTTCTCTCAATCTGTACTTACATGCATCTGTTGTGTTACTCAGCAGTGCTGCTCCTCTTTTGTGGAACTCACATTTTGTTTCTCTCAACTCAACCCCAGAGGCTCCTCCCTTGTGTGCAGCCCTGCACCTGCAGCTCAGCCTGCAAGGTTGTGTGTAGGTGTGGTGTACCCTCCCCTTGGGCAGCCTCACTGGAATTTTGGCCCCTCAGTTGCTGGGATACATTGGTAGCTATATACAGAAGTGAACATTCCAGGCCCTTTTACATGTACTAAATTTCTCAGAGATTGAAGGCAATTGCTGTCAATATTAACATTTTATGGAAATTAACTTTGTAAAGTTCCTGTAAACAATATTTCCCTTTCACTTCTTATAATTTCAAAACAAGATCCCTTATCTGTGTGTTTCCAGGTTAAACCAAGGAGTACCCATCGAGGTTTTGTGAACTGAAACACTAATTTCATTTTACAACCACAGCTCTGTAATCATTAGTGTTCCTTTGTGGACACTCACGTGCTGCCAGCACCATTAGAGTCACTGAGCACTGAGGTTCTGCAGTCCCTTTAAGGCTGATATTCATCTGTTTGGTCTCAGAACTCAGCTCCTGGGAATATCTGACACATTATAAAAAAACAAAGGCACAGCCAAAGAAGATTCTGATCTGCCCCTACTGTTCAGAAATTGTGTTTTCTCTCTAAATTTTGTTATCAGCTACTGGAGTGTATCATCAACCTCTCTATCTGGAGGTGTGTCTTGGCATGACTTCATGTTTTCTAAGTGTTTACACCTACAGAAGGAAAGAAAAACTCCATACAAGATTCTAGTTGCATCAGACAGAAATTAAATTTTATTAGAGACATTTTCCTGATTCAGAGCAACCTGAGTACCAAACAGGTTGGATCTGTAAAGCAGCAGTTTGAGTGCCAATGACCAAAGCTGCAGAGTTTTGTGGGCAGAAGCAGCACAGAGCATGCAGGGCAGGGGGAGAGGTGACATCTGCAACTCCCAGGAACTGTTCAGAGCATCACATTTCCTTGGGAGTGTGGGGAATGCAGTGGATTTGGGCCAGTTTCCTTTTGGAAGGTCTTGTGCTAGAGGATCCTTGATGTAAATTCTTAGTCAAAAGATTTTCTTCCATATCCTGTTTAGAGACAAAACAAGTACAAACTTCATCAGTCCTGGCACTGCATGTCTGACATACCAGTATCCCTCAGACACTGGGATTATGTGGGAGTGGCTATAAGAATTCCAAAAGCAAAAAGGAAAACTCCTGCATGGCACCAAGGCTGCAGGATTTATGAGATTCTGCAAAGAATGAGACAGATGAAAAAACCAGCTGAGGGTAAACTACAAAATCAGCTGATATCACCTACAAAATGGAATAGAAATGGACTGTGTGGTCTGGAAGTGGAGTTGATCCTTTGCACACAAAGAGGAAAGAATTGTTAGTAACAGTAAATCTAATACTTCCCAGAAGTTTTCGTTTATCTTCAGTATTGTTTGCCTCTGGAAGAGTATTTTGGTATAAATTAATGCATAAATTAGTCAGGATGTGACTGAGAGAGGAGTATGTCCATACCACAGTTCTCACCTTGGCTCTCGCTGCCACCCCTGCAGGACTGGGACTGGGAAGATGAAGAGTAGGAGTGGGAACTGCTGACGCCTCCTGAGGTTCTTCCTCCTCCTCCTCCTCCTCCAATGCATCCACCACCGCTTCCTCCTCCCATTCCTCCACTTCCTCCTCCCATTCCTCCACTTCCTCCTCCCATTCCTCCTCCACTACTTCCTCCTCCTATTCCTCCTCCACAACTTCCTCCTCCCATTCCTCCTCCCATTCCGCTGCCACCACCTCCATATCCACCACTCATGCCACCACCTCCTCCTCTTCCTCCTCCAGAATAACCACCACCTCCAATTCTACCACCTCCCATGCCTCCTCCCATGCCTCCTCCTATTCCTCCTGCTGGGATTCTGCAAAGAGAGAGAAAGAAGGGGAAAAAAAGTTAATCAATAGAACTTTGCCATCTGAAGGCCACTGAGCTACAGCTGCTGCCCAGGAGCCAGCACCTCTCTGGGCCATGCTGCTGGTTAGAACCCAGCACTGCACAGCAAAACAACTGAGGCAGTGCCAGAAATTATCCCCTCTTTCAACTTCAACGTCAATGCAAGAGCTTTTGGTTTTCCCACATTCTGCCTAGGGATTCCTTGCAATATTTAGCACATACATCAGTGTCTGGCTCAAAATCAGAAAGAAGAGATTAAAACTTTAGCTGCTGTTTCAGGCACCATTTCCAAGAATAAGCTGGCACTCTGCATAAGTGAGGCTGAAGTAGCTTGAACTTTCAGAAACTTTTATAAAGGTTTGGAAAACTTTGGTCAGTTTGGTTTTTTTGTTTGCCTTTTTATTTTTGCTTACAGTCTTTTCCTGCCTTTTCAGTTCCTGGCTTTCCTGGAACCAGGCTTTCTTACATGGGTTTCCTTGTCCAGCCCCAAACTGGTAGTTCAGAATTTCCGCATTAATTTTTCTTCACATGAGCTACATTCTGAACAGAATGAAGTATCTCACACTTGGGAGGCAATCAGCCAAGACAGCCGCATCAGCCTCATTTCAATACAAAAGCTGTTTTGCAAATCTCAACCGTTAAATTTTCTGCCGGTGACTGACCAGCAGCTGGGTGTCACACAGTGCTGTGTTCTGTCAATACGTACACAAGGTCCTGCTGCCCCTCCTCCAGCAGTGCCCGGTACTGCTGGATCTCCTGCTCCAGGCGGGTCTTGATGCCCAGGAGCATCTTGTACTCCTCGTTCTGGCTCTCCATCTCACAGCGGATGCTG